CATAAACACTAAAAAACAATTAAAAAAATCCTTTCAAATTCCATAAAGATACAAGTAATAGACAACTCACTTGGTATCTTGCGTCTGTTGAATAGTGAATATGTACATAAATACATTTTATTGAAAATTCATATCCCTGTTCAAAATAAAACTGTATCGTTATGTGGTTTTCCAATCATCATTTAATGAACCTTCCTAAAAAATGAATTCTGTTTGTAAAACAACATCGTTTTCAGGTTTTGTAGCTTGTTCTGAATTACAATTAATTGTTCGATCATGATTTTTAAATATAAAAATAAAAAATAAAATTTTCTTTTTTCAGTTATGACGATATTCGTTTTCTGTGATTTTTCTACTTATCGAAATTTATACTGCTATGACATTTATTTTACTGACTGTAAATGGTCCATTTGTTCAATACTATAATATGAAGAAATTATATGATAATTATTAGAACCTTATGATTGAGTTCGTATGTTAATCTTTTTAATTGATCTAAAAATGATTTTGTTTTTCTAAAAGTATCTAGGTAAAATATTTTCTCAAGAAAATCAACACGTTTAAACCAGATTGGTTTCTTTTTTTTTGGATGAGATATCTGATGAAGGTTTATCAGCAACAGATGATGAATTTAAACAATATTTTATCGTTTTGATTTAATATTTCAATATGAAAATCGTGAACAAAAATGTATTGTTACTCTGAGTGATAATGATGTTGATGAAGAATATTATGGTGATTAACAACTAATATTAAGACAACGTTTTCGAAATTATTTCGATCAAACTATTGCTTCATATCGTCAGAATGATATTGAATATCTTGAAGTATAATATCGTTTAGAACAAGTCATAGTGTTTTTATTTTCTTAAAGTTATGATTCTGTTTAATTTTAGTTAGATATCGATATGTTTGAGTCCTATGTAGATGATAAGCGTGCTGCAATTATGAAACAAACACAAAATNAGAGCATAGAATTAAAACTTAATATGGGTCGACTACAAATATCATCAAGATATTTTTCAAATAGTTTATATATTCGTTCAATATTTTTTTTACAAAGTAAACAAATAAAATCTATTAACAAATTTTAATTGATATTCTTAAGATTGAAACGATGAATGCTAACACGATACAGATTCTTTATTATTACGGCTATGCTAACAGTTTTTATTAATGAAGTTTTATTTTATGAATATGATGGATTTCAATGGCCAGATATTGAGTCCTTAGCAAAAAAGTAAGAATAAAATATATTAAAAAAAAAACAAAACTAAAGAAATACTTTTAATTCGTATGTAATGACTTTCAGTTCTATTTTAACTGCTTGAATTTATAAGAGTAAGTGTTTTTGTTTTTTTTTTAAATGTTTTCTATAGGCCCACTGTTGAAAAATTTCTTCTTGTTGCTGATCCACAATTAATTGTTGAAAAAGATGAAGGTTTTTTGGATTAATTACAAGAAGAGATTCAGATAGGTATGAACATTTTTATCTGATGATTTACTTAGTTTTAATACTTGTAATCGATCTAAAAGAAAAAGCAGCAGATATGTTAGTCCATAAAATAGACGATATGGTCAGTAAGTGCTATAATTCATTATAAAATTCAAAGATTTTACTTTCAATAAACTATTTAGGTAATAAATGATTAAAATCAAAATGATAATTGATGTGAAATTATACAACTTTGGAAACCAAGTAGTTTTCTGCAATTTCACATTTATAAGAAGGAGTATGCTATTTAGTTTCTTCGATAAACACTAAAAAATAATAAAAAAAAATCATTTCAAATTCCATAAAGATACAAGTAATAGATAACTCACTTGGTATCTTTCTTCTGTTGGATAATAAATATGTGCATAAATACATTTTATTGAAAATTCATGTCCCTGTTCAAAATAAAACTGTATCGTTATGTGGTTTTCCAATCATCATTCAATGAACCTTCCTAAAAAATGAATTCTGTTTGTAAAACAACATCATTTTCCAATTCTGTAGCTTGTTCTGAATTACAATGAATTGTTTGATCATGATTTTTAAATATAAAAATAAAAAATCAAATTTTCTTTTTTCAGTTATGACGATATTCGTTTTCTGTGATTTTTCTACTTATCGAAATTTATACTGCTATGACATTTATTTTACTGACTATATATGGTACATTTGTTCAATACTATAATATGAAGAAATTATATGATAATTATTAGAACCTTAGGATTGAGTTCTTATGTTAATCTTTTTGATTGATCTAAAAATGATTTTGTTTTTCTAAAAGTATCTAGGTAAAATATTTTCTCAAGAAAATTAATATGTTTAAACCAGATTGGTTTCTTTTTTTGGATAAGATATCTGATGAAGGTTTATCAGCAACAGATGATGAATTTAAACGATGTTTTATCGTTTTGATTCAATAGTTCAATATGAAAACCGTGAACAAAAATGTATTGTTACTCTGATGAGAGTGATAATGATGTTGATGAAGAATATTATGGTGATTAACAACCAATGTTAAGACAACGTTTTCGAAATTATTTCGATCAAACTATTGCTTTATATCGTCAGAATGATATTGAATATCTTGAAGTATAATATCGTTTACAACAAGTCATAGTGTTTTTATTTTCTTAAAGTTACGATTCTGTTTAATTTTAGTTAGATATCGATATGTTTGAGTCCTATGTAGATGATAAGCGTGCTGCAATTATGAAACAAACACAAAATCGTTCATTATCATCATCATTTCGCTTAGTACTCAATCAGTAATCTTTGTTAACACATTCTGCTCGTTTTGTTAAACTATTTATAGATGAATTAGAACCAAATCTTATCCTTAGTGGTGATAGTCATCATGTATATAAATTTAATTAAGAACAAAATTAAAAAGAATACATATATATGTATACATGTCTAGTTTTATATATTTTTATATGATCCAATTAATATGACAACTCGTATCTTAGCACGAGAATATTTACTACAAACAATTTTTTCAATAGATCTTAATCGAAACCGTTTTATTTATGAAATATCGGTGCCAACATATTCATATCGAATGGGTGTTATTAGAATTGGATATATTGTTCTTTTACTTGATAGCTATATGATTTAATCATATATATAGTAAGGATAAAATACTTTATTTCTTTCTAATATTTATTTATCTACTAAAACAGCTCATTTAACTATTCTTTCAACACCAAGACGATATATAAGCCACGATACAACTTGCTCAATTACTGTCATTTAATTGAGCAGATTCTGTGGCAATCAGTCGTGGCTTATACACAATAGCTCATATTTCATTATAGGGTGTGGGTGTGGGTGTGTGGGTGGGTGTGGGTGTGGGTTTCGGTGGGTGTGAGTGTCGGTTTTGGGTGTGGGTGTGGGTGTGGGGGGGTGTGGAGGTGCGGGGGTGNGAAAGTGAACGTATCTTTAAAATTCATGCTTCTCATCTTCGTTGGTTACCAAGCCGAGAAACGATAAAATCTATATCTATTCAAATTGCATCTATTCTTCGATATCCAAACATATATGTTAGTACAGATCATACGATGATAATTCCTCTTATAGCTCAATTTGGAATAGTAATGATTTTTTCTGACATAGAAAATATAACTGAACGAGAACAGAACAAATTACGTGCACACAATTATGTTACAAGTAATAAATATAATTCGATTATTTTTCGAATCAAATATCCTTTAAGAAAGAAATTCCTCCTTACAATAGACATTTTTTTCAAAAAGGCGGCGTCACCAATGGATGTGTCACTGGTACGCACCGGATTTTGATAATATATATACCGTTGGATAGAGGAAGCCTTTCTCTACAAACCTACATATATCTCGTTTTTTAGTCAAAAATTGACCTGTAAGTTATAGCCGCCTTTGATTACTAATCCTGACATCTACATGCGAATTTGACTTAATACTTTATGAGGGAACGTTTCCAACTTGTACTCTGTTTGAATTTCTACTTTGCTCATAAAGTAAGAATCATAGTTTAGATGAAATTTATGCCTTTCTTCTCGAGTTATAATTGTTTAAAATTGAACTTTTAGCATATTACAGGATATGAAGTAAAAAATCGCAGTAAGAAGTATCCGTCTGAAATTTTGTTTAATAATAGATCTTGTTATGCCAGGCCTCGAAATCGAGTCACTTTTTCATGACTCGTACTCGTTCAAGAAGTATTCATGCCTAAAATCATTGCAGTCATTTCTTAAAACATTGTAAAAAGTTTATTATCATAGTCACCATAAATTGAATAAGATCGAACAACTTTTAATGCTTGAAAAGAAAAATAGCACGAGAGATTAATCGAATTTTGTATTGAACTGAAAGATCCAGATCCGTTCGTCGGTACTCCAACTTGACGACTTATTTATTAACATAAGGTTTCACGAGCAAAATGGCCACTAATCAATTTCAAAGAGTTAGATCGTTTACTATTTTTAGTTACACTATTTCATTTCAATAAAATCCATGGTGTTTAACGTAATTGATAGTGTATTTGATCTTGTGTGTAGATAAAAGATTCCTGATTGTTACTAGTTGCGAAGTGCAAAATTTTATGTAAGAAATTTCGATAAAAAAAAAAATAGAATAAAATTAATTCTCTCTTGAGTAAAACTCGATTAAAATGACGGTATTTAATGTTGACTTTTCAGATTCAAGATTAGATTTTAATTGATTTTAGATTTTTCTGATTGATTGATAAAATTTAATCTGTTGACAGTGTCTTTTACAAAATCGTTAGCAAACATCTTATCTCGGAGAATAAGTATCTGTTTGAACGGAAATTTTCAAGATGTAATAAATACAATGAAATTCTTTTGATGGGATTTTTTTCTGTACTATCCCATATTATACTAAAAATTCGCTGAAATGTACATAATTTGAGAAGAAAGGCACATATTTCATTTAAACTATGATTTGTACTTTATGAACAAAACAGGAATTCAAATAGATGATTTTCTCGTTAGAAAATTGATCTTTAAATGTATCTTTTATTTTGTACAGTGATGCCACCAAATAAATTAACTAGACGAATATCAACTAATCTATCAGACAAACGAAATTCATTTGTTGAAGATGATTCTTTAGTTTTATCTTCACCAAAATGGCGTGCTAGTCTTGATGAACAACAATTTTCTTCTCTCAATTCACATATACAAAGTTCATTACGTACGAATCAATATTCATCTGATGATTTACATCAAATAAAATTAAAATCAAAACATACAAATTCATATCAAAATGAACAAAAATATGATGAATATTTATCATCATTAAATAATACATTCGTTCATAAACGTCAACAATATTCATTTATAGATATAACACATGAAAATAATCTTTCTCGATTATCTCTACGTTCAATTTCTTATGGATTTGGTCTTGGAATAAAAACATGGAGATCAATATATGATGAAAAAAATCTTCAACATAAAAATATGTTATCATTATCTAATTATCATTTACCATCGAATAAAATAGAACTTGATATAAATCAACAAGAAATTATTCGTCGTACTGGATCTTTTAAAAGAAAATCAGATATGATTTTATAGGAAAAAAAAAACAAAAAGACATCATCTTATAGTTCATGAATCATTTGTTTGTAATTATATACAAATGAAAAGAATTTTACGGTTTAATATTCTTTTCAATAGTAGAAGTCATTCTCTCGTTCAAAAATTGATCTCCGGCTAGGCACATTCAAACTGCATGAAAGGAGCAGAGTCAATAACTATTGAAATTGACCCCCTGGAGAAATTTAATTTCTTCTATGTCAAACTATCACAAAACATATCTGAAAATGAGTCATGTAGAATTAGTCATACAATACTTATTTATACTGTGCACAGAAGTAGAAAAAGATCGAAAAAAGAATATCGCTGATCATCCGACGAAACTCTTAGGATATTGTTCTCGAAACAAGATTTTGAGCCTTTCTTACTGATATTTTGAATCAGCATTGCAAAATGAGCGAACTTAGGCATATTTCAAATATTTTCGCAAACTTTTTTTTTTCGTCGAAAACTTCACGTCTGTTCCATCGCAGCGTTAAGTTAAAAGATGAATTCCATCGAAAAGTTACTTAAACAGTGAGAATCAAGAACTTCAAACAGTAGATAAATAAACAGGAAAAACAGAGTTTTCGTGAAATTCTATTTTTGACTCAATCCCATATATTGGAATACCTATTCAGAATAGCATATTCATTTTCATCTAAAATACAATTTTCATGTTTAAATCTTTTCAACATCAGCAAGGAAATGCTCACAATTTACTCTCAAGGATTTGTTTGTGTGGCTAATGTTTTTTTCCTCGGTAGTTTTGCACTATTTTCAAACGCCTGAAAACTACTATTGAACAGACACGTAATATGATAGTTTTACATGAAATAAATCAAATTTCTCGAGGGAGACAATTTCAACAGTTATCGATTATCGTTCTTTTTCACAATAGAATCTATACTAAAATTTTTAGTCTTACACTATGACGTTTTTCGAAGATATTTATCATACGACCATCAAAAATAGATCATTCGTTAAGGTAAAATTCTCGGTACAATCGCATACTATGTACTTAATTTGCTTTTAATTTGAAAGAGCATGTCAAATAACAGAACTTAACAGTCATCTTTTATTAAGTGTTATTTTTTAAATGATAAGTTAAAAATCTCGAAAAAACTCAAAAAAAAAAAAAGGGGGCTCTTCATTTATGGAAGTGCATTTTTTATTATAATAATAGCAATGTATAATTATAAAAAGAACGGGCTCTATGCAGCAACAAAGTTTCTCATATTCTTGTTGAAGTAAGAAAAAAAGAAAGAATTGGTTACAATGAAGTTCCTTTGAGAATTCTGAAATGTTCGATCAAAAGGAAGCATGAATAGAGAAAAAGAGAACAACAATTTCTATTTTTTGCTCTGAAAGAGTACTATTGTATAGAAAGAAGATGACAGAAATCATAAAAAAATCCCATGAGATTTTCAAGATATGTTGAAGCTGTAGTAAAAAGGCCATTCTAAAATTATCAGTTGTGCACCATGACGTTTTCATGAGATACTTAACAAACATGAGTCAAAATTATATCATTTGGCAATGGAAAAATTCTCTGTAGACCGTCATAGTATATATTTTATGCTGTTTGCTTGAAAAAACATGTCAGAATGCAAAGCATGATAGAACCGATTCTTTTATATTCTTACTTTATAATGGACACAAGTGTACTGTGTCGAAAACCTATCAAAAAATAGCGCAATAATTATAAAAGTACTCTTCTATATAATTGTAATAAAATTTAATTGAAAACAAATGAAACTTTGTCATGCTCTGCATCTTGACATGATCTCAGAGAAATTTTATAATATTATAGTATTTTTAGATAGATTGAAAAATAATAATCACTAACTACCATGTATTTTTTTAATTGTATATAAATAAACTAATTTCGTGGTTCGTTGAACTTCATTAAACAAATCGTTTTATTTTCCACAACATTAGCATAGTAGGTTTCCTCGAATGAGTTCTACTGAAATCAACTCTAAGTTGCCTCAAGAGAAAGAACTGAAATAATATAACAAACGGTGAATTAGTATGATTTATGTTGATTACACTAGATCATGTCGTTTTTTTATGTTTTTCTAATCATCATTGGATAAGCTTTTAGGTTTTTACTAATAATGATGAAATTTATTAAAATGATTTTGCGTTCCCTTAAAAGACTTATTTTCAATACAAACAACTAGAAATTTGAGATCTTAAATTTTTTTTCTCGACGTAAATTGACATTGTTTAATAGTGTAGTGAATTTAAAGCTTTACTTTTTCGAATTTGAATAGCAATTCAATGAAAATATTATTTCATCATTTTATTTGAATAAAATACACTTACAAAGAAAATTTATTTAAAGTTTAAAAAAAAAAAAAAATGATGAGATTTAAAACAAAAAAGCCAAGTCATAAAACATATGTATTTTAATATATTGTTCACATAGTTGACATTGATTGTTATCATAAAATGTTCGCGTCGTCAAAAGAAAGAACTATTTATAAGTTCAAATTTTTATCTATTCATTTTTCATATCTTCTTTTAGGTCAAGGTTTTGCCTCTCTCTTTAAGTCTAAGCAATGTTCTTTACGTTTCTCTATTCTCTATTTTAACACAAAAAAAAATGCGATTATAGGTATAAAAGGATATTCATGTTAAACAAGTAAAAGTATGTTCAGTTTGTTTAATTTGAACAAATGCGTTTGTCATATTTGATTAAATCCAGTTTTATGAACTTCGTGACACATCATCCAATATTATTTAGCAAAAAAAATAAGAAATCTTTTTTTTTTTTTTATGTATGTGTGTTCTATGGAATAAATTAATATTAAGATTTCTTTTTTAATTAGATAAATGTCATGCATGATGGAAGAGAAAAAAAAGAAAGAAGGAAAGGGCGTGTCCAATTTCAACCTAACAGCTGTTAGTCTATCATCACTCAACTAAACAAAGAAGAAAAAAAAACACACACAAATGAATAAGACTCATTTGTGTTCATGCATATACACTAATGATAATAAGTTCATTCAAGAGATTGACAGGCCTCTCGTGTATAAACTTTCTTAATTACAATACGAATAAATACAAGTCAAAAATTTCGATGGATAAACCATATTTGATATGTGTTTATGAACACATCAATAATATATAGATTTTTCTTTTCATATATATATTGCCTTCAGCTAAATAAATATATATATATTCGAATAGGTGATTGATGATTATTTTGAATCTTTGATATGTTGTTCATCAAGTATTTTCTTCTTTTATGAAAAATGTTAATTTTATGTAAATATTAAAATTGAAAAAAGAAAAAAAGGAAATCACATTGAAGCAGCTGTTTTTCTTCTTCTTCGTCTTCTTTTCATAATTGAGTACTTATCCAGCTGTTTTCTTTCGCCTTTAAGAATAAAACAAAATCAAAAAAAAAAAAAAAGAAAAAGAAGAAAAATTAGCAAATCCATATGGTACCAATCGATCTAATAATTATATTTTTTCTTTGCTTTTGCTGATGGTTTATAAACTTCCAATTGATGATTTTTATAATCTGATTGACGATGAATTTTTTTAGCACATGACTCACAAAATAGTTCATCACAATCAAGACAATGTTTTCTTGCATTATCATTACATATAGTACACCATGGAAATTCTTCATCATCATTATCATCATTAGATTTTTCTTCTGACTTTTTTCTTGATGGTAATATAACTGTATCGGGTGTTGCAGCTGGCATTGTTTCATGTAAAATACGTAAACGTTGTTGAAGAGAATAATCTTCTCGTTGTTTAATAGATAATTCATCATGCATTTGTTGTATAAGATCATCTGGATTATTCGAAATATTATTTGTTGTATTTAATGGTTTTGCTGGAAAATCCATGCGTAATTTTTCTAGACGTTCTTCAAGTGCTTTTGTTTCAGGATCAAGTTGATTTACAGGCATTCGTATTTGTTTTGATGATGGTTGTTGTTGTTGTTCTAATCGTTGTAGAAAATTTTTTGGTGGTTTTTGTAACATAAGTTCTGTACTTATCGAATGAAAACATTTTGTACAAACTTCATACATTTGATAATTTAATTTCGGTACAGCTATACGTTGATATACACAATTTGAACAATATATTTGTTGACATGAACCACAACACTTTTTTATAGTATTATTTAAAAGTATTTGTTTACATGATGAACATATTGAACTCATACTTATCTAAAAGAAAAAGAGAAGAAAACCGAATCATTCTTTGATCTTTTTTTATCATGATAGAATTATACTCATATTCACAGGAGTGTCACGAATCGGAGGTCGAGTATTGAGAGGATAGAGTTCGAGCCTTGTTGTAAGGATTGGTGAAAAAACTCATTGAGTTGCACTGGGGAAAAAGGAACAATTTTCAAGAATGGGAAGGTCACTCTTCTATATTCAATTTATTGATTATAACATGCAATCGTAAAGAGTATATTCTGATTTAAAATAATATCTTGAACTAAAAGATTTGTACAAGTATTTTAAAATAAATTTATTATTGATAAAAATTCAATTAGTTTCTTTTTTACTATTGTTTTCTTTTTAATTATGTGAAAATACATTAAACTAATATATTTGAATTCAAAGTATTTTTGTACTTTTCAAATAGAAATGCTTGAAGCATTAATTATATTGAAGTATTATATTGAAAAAATAAAACTACGAGATGTATTTTAAAAAGATGAAATTTTCTTCTTGTTATTGTTAAATGATTAGCTTGAGGCAAATAATGTCTCATCGATCACTATTTTTTTTCTTCCTTTATGTCCATTAAGTATCATGCTATATACATATATTCTTTAACACTTTACAAAAAACATATATACATTTAACTGTTATCTTCAACAATCTCAATTATGTCAAACTCATAAAATTCTTATCATAGTTGATGATACTTTCGTTTTTTTTTTTTATATTTATAACAAAATACTAAATCATTTTAAAATAGTGTGGTTTAAATTTCCTTCCGGGTATAGATTTCACACAATATAATGATCATATATAATTAACAAAAAAAAAAAAAAAGTGTTTCTCCTTTTTCGTTTACATTTCATATATGCGATTGTTTAATCAACTATTTCTATAAACAAACTAAAAATAAAAGTCAAACATTTTTTTTTTCTCACATTTGAACATACACACTTCTAAAATGTCGTTCTAAAAGAAAACGAATTTTAATGAATATTCGCAATTAAGGAATAGATGATCTTTTCATACGCAGAAAATGTTAAGACGTAGATTCTTGTAAAAAAAAAGTAGATCAATTTTAATAAACAGGAAATGAACATAAGAATAATACAAACATTAGATTATGATCATAATCTAAGATGCGCTTTTATTCTCTTTCTTTTGTTTTATATCTTAAGAAAACTGGATCAAGATAATTATGTTTGTCGATGTTAAATTTAAATGTAAATAAGTTCAAAAGAATAAACTCAATGTGAAATTTCGATACATATCGAACGATATAATTATAAATGATCATCATCAAACAAACATTTTCGACAAAGATCTTGATATGAATTAAAATCATAAACAATTGTTTTCTTTATATTTCTTTTTTTCTTTTGTTTTTAATGCCAGATGAATAACGAATAAAAACAAATATCTTTGGTAATCTATGAACAACAGATGTTGATTATATATGAATGTATATGTATTGTTGCATCATATCGACATAATGATGCAATCGGGAGTTTCTTTTTTATCTTTATTTTTAGGCTAGTAAAAAAAAAAAAAAATCCCTAGTTTAAATTTAAAATCGATTATCAGCATGTAATCATCAATAGAAAATTATCAGTGATGAAGCAGCTGAAGAAAAGAAAAAAAGAAACGATCAAATTGACTTTGACCGTTCGGTGAACTCGCACAAAATATACGACGCGCATACACGGTACCGTACGTTCAATAGATCAAACAACATACGGACACAACGGACATTAACCTTTATTGTAAAAACATAGACATTCAAGGGTCTTTTCTTGCTCTTCTCTTATTCACATAATGACACATCTTTTCTTTCATATCATCAATCAAAGAATAAGAGAAAAAAAAAAAAAAAACATTCATTAAATAGATAGGCCAGACATCATATATGTCCCTGCACGTTTTTATTCGAGCAAGAGAAAAAAATATAAAAAAAAAAAAGAACAAAAAAAAAGAAAAACCTACATGCACGTATACATAGGTTTATTTTGTACCTGAGACAAGGTTCTTATAAATTGTAAATTTTTTTTCTCTTGGACAATGCGGAGCATACAAAAAAAAAAATAATGATAATAATAGCAACTAATAAATGATATATATATGTGTGTATGATTTTCACATCTTTAGTTTTTTTCTACATACACACACACACGAACAAACAAACAAAACAGGTATTTTATACTAATCACACACCCGAATAGAAAAAGAAAAATCTACGCGCCTAGACTTGTGTTGACAAACAAACAAAAAAAAAAAAAAAAAGAGAAGAAAAAAAATAAGTTAGGCTCAAAGCTCACATACACTTATAGATAGATAGATAGATACCTACAACTAAAAAAAAAAACAAACAAAACAAACAAACAAACAGAAAAAAATTGTTTGAGCAGTTTGACTTCCTGAATAGGGAACACATACAAATGACTTAGAACTAGTGGGTCACACACAAAACATATGCTCATTCACAATGAGATAGATCTTATAATAATAAAGTAGAAGAATAATAATAATAAACTTTATTTAAATTTTTTTTTCCGGGTTAATACATATAATGTCCCTGATCAAGATAGCTGTACACGATGACAAAACAAATAAAGGTAAAAAAATACACAGAATAAATTAATAACACACACACTCACACACTCGCACACACACACGCACTAAGAATTATTCATACCTGAGGGTGTGTATATATATATTCATGATGTTTTCAATGATAAAAGACTAAAATTTGACCAAACTGAATCAAATATTGTATTATTATTATTATTATTATTATTAATATTATTATTATTATCCGATGTTTGTTCATTAATTAAATCAAATGATGAACCAAAATCGAATGATTGATTCATTAATGAATTATCTTCTAATGGAAAATAAGATGATTGAGATACCGTACGTAATGGAATATGTTTATTATTATCATCAATTGTATTATTATTAAATGGAAGTGATAGATGATGAGTAAATTTTGTTTTCATCCATTTTATATCATCATTATTATCTTCAACAGGTGATTGATGACCTGATGATGATGTTTGTCCTGTACGTGCAGCAATATGACTTTCAATTTCCAAACGTGCAGCTTCAACATTTTCCGGTAAACCAGCTATTTCAAAAACAGGTTCTTTATCACGACCTGGTGTTATTATATATGTATTTGTTGTTTGTTGTATACGTTTTATAGTTGCACCTTTAGGTCCAACAACTAAACCAACAACACGATATGGTACACGAACTTGTATTGTTGTTTGTTGACTTGGTAATATTAAATTATTTATATGTAAATTTGTATTACTTCCACTACTTGTACTACTATTCGATGAACTACTCGTACTACTTTGTTGTTTACGAGCTAAAGAAAAAAAAATAACAACAAGAAACATTATATAGAATTATTGAAATAAAAATTGAAGTTTTTTTTTTTTTCTTACCAGCTCGTATTTGTGAAAAATGTTCAGCAGCTGATAGAATTTCTTTTTTTGCTATATGAACATCTTCTTTTCGACCAGTTATAATAAAAACAGGTTCATCACCACGAACGGGTGTTTTAATATATGTATTTGTTTTAGCACGTAATGCTTTTATTTTACAACCTTGTCTACCAACAATTTCGGCGACATGTTCCGAACTTGGCACCGGTACACATTCGGTCATATTTTGACTTTTTTTACCAAGTGAATCGGCTATTTGTTGTTGTTGTTGTTGTTGTTGAAATTGTAATGAAAATTCATTATTAAATGATGGAATAAGTAATGATGAACGTTGATAATCAGTTACAAATGAATCAATTATTGCTGCACTTGGCATTGTTTTTTAATTAATAAAAAAATAATTTCTATATATATATATATATATATTATATATCTATATATCTATACTAGAAACAAATAAGTATATGATAAGTTCATGTTAAAAGAAAATGAATAAATGATGAACGGAGAAGAAGAAGAGAAAAACGACCTAACGTGTAGACTTACCGCGTAGCAATGTCCAGTCGACGACGAAAGCGAGAAATGTGAATGTGATGATTAACGCCTACATGCTCGACCCTTCTATACTATACTGGTGTAAGAGAGAAAGAGCGAGAAGAAAAAAAGAAAACGAGAAGAGAACGGAAAATTACGAGAGAGTGACGTGTGTATGTGTACAATCTCTGCTGTCTCTCTCTCTCCCTCTCGCAGTTTCTTCCACCTGAATGGTGGGTGGTTGATCTCTTTTCTCTTGCTTCTTTCTTTGTCGATTTTTTTTTTCTCAAACCATCACAAAAAAAAAAAAACATTCATGCACAAGTTTTTTTTTTCTTCTTCTTCTTCTTCTTTTTCTTCTTGTTCGCGTCTGATGAACTCTGAACTACTTACTCTTTCTCTCTCACTCATGCAAACGCTGCTTTGATTATATTAATAACTCATCCGACCAATGAGAAGAATAAAAAAAAACGGTCGATCGCTGGAAATGGGTCTGGCCAGTTCACCGCTATAATATGAAGAGATGAAGCGGCAGCGAAAAGGGAAAGAAAGGCATTAGACAAGAAGAGAAGAAAAAAAAATCGCCCCATCAGCATGCACAGAACCCTCGAGCTGATGCCTCCATGACGCTGTTCTTTATTCTTTCTCTCTCTCTCCCTCGCGCTCTGAAATACGACAATACAATGATGACGACAAGCAGTAGTAGCAGCATAAAAGAAAACCAAGCGAATGCAATACATATATACATATAAGACTAGACAGAAATGGTTTCAGGATGATGTTGATGATGATGATAGGGTTACTACTGCTTATGTTCTCGTCAAGTATACATATGATGCCATATATACAATCCAAAAAAAAAGCAAAAAAAAAGAGAAAGAAAGAAAGAAAGAAAGAAAAAGCGACGTGATGCTATGTTATAGAAAGAGTTAATTAGATTGACGAATTGCGCGATTTTTTTTTCAAGGAGAAAAAAAGTTCTTTTTTTCCTATGTTATGCATTTATATATATATATATATATGTTCCTATTCTTAGATTTTAAATAGATGATAGAATTAGAAAGAATTTCTTTTATTGAATTTTACTATTGGTCAAATATTTCTTTTTATAGAATAATTAACAAAGTTTTTAAAATATTAATTTTTAAAGTAGATTATAACAAGAGGATTTTATTTTATTTCTTCTTCTAAAAATGGAAAAAAAGAAATTTTTTATCACACGGAAATATTTCTGGAAGAAATCCTTGGAATGAAATATATTTTGTATATACGTCATTGTTAAATCAAGTGTAAGATCGGATTACCAAATATTTGATCTAGCTCATGGTCATTGTATGCCATATTTCTTCTATGTTACAATTTAAAATGAATATAAATGATGACTTTTAAGATTGATCAAAAAAAAGAAAAACGCATATGTATAATAACTTTATAAACACAAAATTTCTGAAATATATATCAATAATGACATCATATAATTCATTTACTTCTATACTAATCATTTGACCTTTTTCCCGTTTGTTAACAATTTAGATGAGTATGTATGTTGTCGCTAAGTTAAATTTATGACATAGTTCAATCTTATCATCATACTATAGAATTCAAGTTCATTGTTAGAGTAAAAACAAAAAATTAAAATTTTAAGATTTAACTCGATTGTGGGTAAAAGAAGAATCGATTTATTATTCTAGAAGTTTGAAACTGTCATATACACAATTTCGACAGATGGTAATTTGGAGGTCAAGAATTGATAAGTGTCTAACTTGAAGACTGCCTGAAAATGATGACATCAATGTTTAGTAAATTAATCTTATAAATGGATGGTTAATATAGTAAAATATATTATACTGTTGTGTTCGGAATGAATAATAGTTCATTATTTGTTTGATTATAAAACATTTACGATCACTCATAAATTCATCAGTCAATATTTACTTATAATGTCTTTATGATAACAATTTTCATCCAGTGATGGAACTTGAAGAATATTTAATAATTTATGTAAAACATGTTATATTATATCTAAAATTAAAGAAAAAAAAGATATTAGTTTGTTCAACTTGTCTGATATTATTTTAAGATTGAAAAGATTTTTTTTCGTTAAAGTGATAAATCTCTATTTGATATGTGATTTTAAAAGCCTTAAGATTGTCCTTCAATTTCAAGGAATTGTCATATTTATGATGAATTGAAAAAAAAAATCTTGTTTGAATATATTTTTTTTTTTTTTATTATACAAAGCGATTAAAGAACGAAAGAAAGAAAAGACAACTCATGTTTATGATGATGTTTGTTGTTGATTTAAATCTTCTTTGGTTGATGTTAACATTTTATTTGAATTATCCATATTAATTACTATAGATGAAGGTTCTAATTGATGTGTTGGAGGTAATAATGGACTTTGATTTTCATCTAGATCAGGCCATGCTTCTGATGCTGAATCTTTTAATTTCATTCTATCATTTAAAGCTTTTAATGCTTTTTGTCTAGAATAAAAAAACAATAATTCTGATTACATAAAAAATTTTCTTTCTAATGAATTTTTATTTTTAGTAGAGAAAAACAAAAAGAAGTACTATTCTCAAAAAATAGATATCTGATTTTACAATCTGTATCTTCTCAAGTGAAAAAATACGATATTTAATTGGGTCATATATAACATACAGAAATACTGTCGTGTCGTGGTAAGATTTCGGTACATATACAGTCAGCGTACTGTCGTAAAGTTGTCTTTTTGTCATTATTTATCGGCAAGTGATAAATTACTTTTAAGATATGCATAATTTCATTAAGTAGAACCTATTAAAGCTAGAGAAAAATTCTATAACAACTTTTTTTGTGTCTTTTTTAAAACAAAATAATGTGTCCATTTACTTCGAATTCAATTCCATTGATTACTTGGAGTAACATAGCATTGAATAGAAATGATTTTCGAACATTATATAGAGTCTTCGATAAGCTAGACATTCATTGATATAAACTCATCAATAGCACAATCTTTTATGTTAAAAACTTGATTAAAACTAATCGTTCGTCAAATTTCCCCACTTTATACAGATAAAATAACAACATAACTAAGAAAAGCTGTAAAAAAAAGTCACTTAACAATTAAATTCAATTTTCATATCATTCAAGACGAGTACATCAGTACAATGAAATTGTTCTAATGGATAAGTGTCATAGTGGTAAAAGGTTAAATTGTACAAGATTTCAATTCAAAACTTGACTGAATAAAATAAGTCAAAAGCTATGAGATTCTCGCATGAGTAAATTGATATTTCTTTAATTTTGTATACGAGCATTCGTTTTTTTTTTAAATTCAAATAAATATCTAATTTCGTTTATGTTTCATTTCTAATATTCTTCTCATTAGACATGAATAAAACTTGAAATTATTTGAGAAATATTATCATAATAGATTTAAATGAACAACAAACCTTCTTCTATCAGCATCAGCTGCTTCAGCACCTGGAATAGTTATTGTAATATTTGATGATGAAGCAACATTATATTTTTTAACAAATGGTTTACATAATTTTATTTTAACAAATATTGCAAAAATTGTATTTGCAAATACACTTATTATTGGTGATATAGGTGGTGGAAAAAAACTAAAAAAAAAAAAAAAAAAAAACGAAATTTAATTAAAATAATCATAGAGAAACAAAAAAAAAGACGAAAACTCTCAATTACCTTGCAAATGAAAATGATGTTGACATATCACCTTTGGTTCCATTTTGATGTACTTGAAAAAATCTTAAATATGTCCAACTAATAATAATACCAAAACTAAGCATAATTAAAAAATGTATAGGTACAGCATATACAAGCCAAAGTATTGTGGATAAAACAACAATTAATAATGGTACATGATCTTGTTTAAGTTTACATAATGGTGTTGTTGCTAAAATAGTATCAGGCATAATTTGTTTAATAACAACTGAATAAGCACCAATAAATGATGCTAAACCATAAATAGGTCTTTCAAATAAATAATCTTCATTAAATGTTAAACCATAAAATAGAAAATAAGTAAATGTTGCAACTAATGCATTTGGAATTGTAACAATAAAATAAAATTTTAAAAGTTCTTTTGTACCCCATAATGGTTCAATCATTTTTGAATAAAGAAAAACAACAATAACATCAATTATTGTATGCCATATATGTAATTCAATAAAACTATGTGTAATGAATGTCCTATGATAAAAAGTAAAATAAATATTTCGAGAAAAAGAAAAGTAAATAAATAAATAAATATAAACAAACCATATCCAAAAATTTGGAGGCATTACACGACCTGGAATGACTGCAAGTATTTGAACACATTGAGAACTAAATGAAAGACCATATCCAATAATACAAAATACGCATATTAGTTTTGTTGCAAGGCCTGATGAGAATACGGCCGATTGTAATTGTTGACTAATATCATCGACAAATGTTTGTTTCATGATCTGAATAAATAAAAAAAACAAAAACCTTCTAACAAAATAATAATTGAAAATAATGACATACATTATTTATTAACTTAACGAAACATAGTATAAAAATTGGAACAATTTAATAGACTGAATTAATCATCACAATCGTCAATAGACAAATAAAACTACAAGTAAATATATCTTTTTTTTTTTTTAATTATCATGTTGATCAAATATCGGTATTCATTGGATTATTAGTCATGCTTGTCTTTTATGATCTACAGATGGCAGTATTGTCTTATGCTAAATAAAGATATATGTTGACTTTTTTTGTCGTATAGATTTTAATACAAACAAGAAATAATATTTTTCTAATAAGATGTTATCAGAACGATCGTTGACAATAACGACCTGAAGTGACTCTAAATTATTGTATTATATCTTCTTTACATCGTTTTGTTTACTGCATACAACTAATTAAAATTACTCTGCTTTCGGATAAAGTAGTTCATTGATAAACAAAAGAATAATTTAGGTAATAGACAACATCATTGAAGTATCTATGAAAAATAATAGAACGAGTTCTATTTTTGTTGATACTTACATATGAGAAAAATCAAGGATGAGATATATACCAACATTTGTACTCGTACTGGATAACTTCACAGTAACATCATGTCAATCATCATGTTGTAGAGAATATAGAGATTGTTTTGTAGAATTGATGTCATATCATCGCATATGTCTCAGCATAATCTTAGTACCATTGCTGTTTAGGGTACTACACAAGAATTATATGAAGCCTCACCATAACAAAAAACCAAGTGTTAGGGAAAAAAAAAGAATGAAATCCATTTCGGTCACAAAAAGTCATTTTAACGAAACATTAGAAAATGTCTGATGATGTTTTGTAAGATGACTATTTTGACAGTGGTTTTCACTGGGACTGAAAAAATGATCATAATGGATAACTTTCATCAGTATGTAAGAAAAGTTAGCACTATATTCGATCTTTTCTTGTTCGGGTTCGTTCTACGATTTGTTTTGACTCTCGACATGATTATCTTAGATGCAGAGCTCAATTCTCTCTCGGACTACATCGATTTCACCTAGCGTTATCTGACCAAAGTTCCAATTGATAACAGTAACAACAGATTCAGTCTGTTCTGAGTTTTTTACATGTTTTTGTTGCGAATAATTGGATATAAAAGTGCTGTTTGTTGATGCCAAAGACTACTTCTATGATGAAGCATGCATCAGAGGTTATATTTGAATAAAAATCGATCATAAAGTTTTATATTTACATGATGAATTATAGTTATTATCAAGCTATGTATTTAAACAATTATCTTTATCATGAATTTATCTGTTTTATGCTATTAATAGCATATGCCTTACCCAGAAAGAACAGGTAAGACAGTAGATGTAACATAAAAACAGATTGAATATTTTAATAATTGATGATGTTTACGTCCTCGAGCATTGAATTAATATACAGAGCTAATTTAGAAGTTGTTAACCTCTAAAATTTTCTGTTCATTGACAAATATGAAGTGAAATGAAACTCATAGACCATAATAATGGGAAGCGTTATTATAGTGAAATAGACCTTCCACACCAGTAATATACTGATTAGAAGACAGATATGCCTAATCGAAAAATTAATTTGATAGTGAATAGGGTCAGAAACATGAATAATAACTCATGATCATTCTACCGACTGGCTTGCTTGGTCTGGTCGGTTGGGCCAGTACTGGTAAGAAAAAGTCCTACTATTCTCAGAAGATTGTCGATGAAATCAAGCGACTTGCCATAGTTTTTCATAGCAAAAAATTTGTAAAATACTTGAGCAAAATCACAACCAACATTATATCGAATTGATAGCAATGTGGCTTTGTAATTTTCTGTAAAAAAAAATATTACTTTAATTTTTCTTTTGATATTTCAAGTAGTATAATAGTTAATATAACGACAATGGTCTTGTTTCATTATGGTCCATGAATGATCAGACAATGCGTCCCAGAATTACTTATTGCGAGTATGTGAGTGAAGGTATCGATATGAGTGAGAATCTTTTGTGTACCTTAACCCATGTAAACATGAAACGCAAAATGAATGCGTTTCAATGCGCTTTTTGTTATAAACCGCGTTTAGACGTAGTTCAAAACCAATATTTTATATTAACATAAGTTTCTTGATTTTATATTAAATTCAAATGAAATATTTAGTATCTAAGAGAAACATGTGCAGAATTTATAAAAATGTTTAAATAAAATGGAATATGTTATGGTTATCTAACCAACTGATAATGTTGTATTCTTATTTCTATTCTTCTCTGTAGAATGAATCATTTTTGACTGTCTGAATGTCTTAATTCGTTTCTCTATATTATCAAGTAATAAAAAAATAACTTGATTATTTATGAAAGAAAAGTAAACTTTGATTAATTCAACAATCCTTATTTTATTCATTAAATATATTTTACAAGAAAAAAATAAATATGTTCAAATCATTTCCATTGTAAATAGACAGTATCCATTATACGTTTAACTGTAAAATCAGTAAGTAGTTTTTCATATTTGATCATTTTTTCTATATTTTCAACTATTTTATCATCTGCTGTTGGAACATCAAAACTTAATAAACGAAGATAATGATTATTATTGTAATTAATTTTTTTGAAAATAATACGTAAAAACGATTGAATATTCATTGTATTTATATATCTAACTTTGAAATATCTCATATAAGGACAAAATGTAAAAAGAAAATCAAGTTCTTGAACACCACCAATCTCTTCAAGATAGACTTTGATAATTTTACTTGTTTCTTTTATTGAACATAAAATAAGAAGTTCTTTAACAGTTAATGTTATTGTTTCGTCTGTTGATAATGAATGAGCTTTTAATGTAGTTATGTCTGGTAATAGATTGACAGCTTGAATCAATTCAGGAATTGAAATGTTTTTTTCAAGAATTTCCAAATGATAAATTTGTGTTATTGTTAAAACACGTTCAATTTCTTTCGACACCACTTCTGCAAACATTAAATCAGCAATAGATTTGAGTGTCAAATTAGTAAATATAGAATGTTCAATAGAACAATTAATAATATTATCTTTTGTATCATTGTACCATGCTTTACTAAAGTGAAACAAAATTATTTATTATTTTTTTATCGAAATTATTTTTCTATATACCTATATGGATGAATTGTATATTCGATCTCTGCATTCGTAATATCGACTTCAAATAACCATTGTCGTTCAATCCAAAATGATGAAGAAAATTGGTTCGATCTTCCTGTATATATTGGATATGTTTGTTCATTATCAACATAATCATCATATAACATAAAGAAATTTTCTAACTGAGGTAAATAATTTAAAATTAATTGTTCCCATCGATGAGCATCAAGAAAAGTAATATCTTCTGATCCAATAATAGATAAAGTTTTTAAATTTGAAAATATTTTTGTAATAAATATTTCCATTTCATTAAATGTTGTTTGACATAAATTCATATAAATCGACTTTAGATTAGTTAATGTAATTGATGATATTAATATCGTACTATTTAAATCATTCTTTTTTATTTTATGAAGAGTTAAACGACGAAGTTGTGGTGTATAAGAAATTAAAGATGCAAGTTCATTTAAAGAACAATAATGATCAATAACAAGATATTCAATAGGACTGAATTGATTATTCATAGCCAGTGGAAGTGTAATTGACTGATGATGACTATTACAGGAAATTCGATAATATTTCAATTTAGGTAAGACAAATATCAATCGATAGATATCATTGATTTTTTCTATAACATTGGATGTTTCGATCGTTAATGAAAAAAAATTTGGTAAACAAGATAAATTGCTTAGAATAGGGATAATGGTATCGGATTTAATGTTTTTAAAAAAAATAGATTCAAGTCGATCAAATGATGAATCAAATAAAAACGACGAAAAAAAAGAACTATCATAGAATATAAAATTTACACGTATAGAAAATATTTGATGTCGATTGAAAAACATAAATTGTTTAAATATGTTCATAATTTCATCATTTTCAAATAAATAAAAATGAGTTTTAAATAAGAAAAATGAAGAATGAAAAAGTTGTTCAAATCGAGAATTAAGATTTGAAAATACTTTATATAATTCATATCCATTAAGATAATCAAATATTTCACATAATAATTCATTTGATAGATCTTCAAAACAAGTTGTGAATTGATCAAATTCATCTATTAGAATAAAATAGAAAAAATACAAATCATTTTATATTCACCAGACGAATAACTTACTGCAAAATTTCTTTGTTTTCTCTTCTGATAAATCATCAGAACTTAATTTTCGTTTAACTTCAACCATACTTATTTTACAATCTCAATTGAATGAATTTGTTTTATGAAATGAATTCTTCACTTCGAATACGCTTTAATATACTGTTCAGACAAAAGAAGAACAGACCGTCGAGATCAACGCCCCATGAAAAAAGCCAGAGATATAAAAGGGAAACAAAGTATAACGGTCATTTAACCTTATAGACAATCAAATCACTTTGTAAATTTGAGAGAAGTTATTTCGTTAATCTGTACCGTTTGAAGTTATAAAACAAATTTTTATGCATCCGAATTTCATTAGGTCAAAAAAAATTTTTTTTTGAAAATTTGTTCATCAGTTTTATAAAAAGGAATACAAAGTCCATAATAATCATCTCCATTGTAGATGAATATTATCACAAACACGTTTATTTGTATAAAAAAAAATTCTTTTTCATAGTTGATCTTGTTTTCTAATTTTTGCCATCATTGGATCATCTGCTGTTGAAATACGAAAATATAAAGAACGAAGACGATGATCGGCATTACCGATCATTTCAATTAATAAGAATATCCACTTCTTCAATATCAATCATATTTTCAAGATAAACTGTCGTAATTTTATTTGTATCAAATATCGATAAACATATATATATATAGATATGAGGTAATGCTTCTATAAGATAAATTAATAGATCAACAAAAATCGATATTTTTACATTTTGAAAAGAGGTAATATTGCCATTGGAAAAAAAATTCTGCAGAGCTATAGCTGTAACCACAAATTATCTCTAAAGCTCAAGTTTATATCAATTGGAAGCTATGTAGTTTATTGGACTTACGTTTTACATTATGCTTTTTTCTCTTGTTTGATATTTTCTAAAAATAAATAGAGAAAACATAATGAGATCATTGAAATATGAATACACAGAAGTTTGGTAATGTAGATTTATTGAGTTGAAACACAGCCATAAAACTAATAATCATATTCATTTACATTTTTATTCGGCAATTTTGTTCGGTGAATATCTACAAGTTATCGAAATAAAACATTTTATATAGAAAATCTTCTTAAGAATTGTCTTTCTAACACATCAAACTTCCATTGAGATCAAGGTCGATCACTTTGTAGAGAGAGAGCATTCATCACCTGAGAAATATTTAAGTACTCTGAAATTCACAAGCCAGCAATTATCTGTCAGTTGTGTTGCAAGTTCATCGCAACAAATAAATCAATTAACTATTTTTTAATACTAATTACTTTCTATACATGAATAGTTCGTTCATCTTAATATAGAATACAAAACAAAATGTTATTTTAATACTTCAATTGTAAACATTATTCGATTTTTATAGAAGACACATTTGTTGGAGCAAAAGTGAACTAATTAATTATAACTGTTCGAGTTGTACGTCAGCTGATCCTCCAATAGCTCCTGAAAAGTTTTCGATGGGCTGTTAATTTTGGATCGGTCAGTTCTTGTCAGAAAACTCTACAAATAGTTTAGTTTTTATCACCTGATTTGAATCGATTTGTGAGTAGAATGTTGTTGGCAGTTAAGAAAATCGACTTGCATCTCCGTTAATTTCTTCAATAATATTTTTTAATGATGGCGTGTGAAGCGTGTGGGTATGGGTTTATAAAGTAAAGAACTCACATCCCACACCCCATCAATTTCCAGGTTCACTCGATCCATCTTCGAGTTGGAGTTACTTATCTCTGCTTATGATGCTTAAACATTATTGCATCTATCGATGTCTTTCATTGCACGTTCAACAATCAAGTTAATTGTAATTCTTTTTTTATTTTAATTTCAAATCCATTTAGTACTCATGAGCTTTATTCCCTCTACTGAAAGGAGGGTCATACGCTGAGTGAGCTATCTTCGTTCATTCATTAGAACGCTGGAGGTGAATTGAGTCCATTCATTAAACTAAGTGAAACAAAGTTTGAGCAAAGGTTTTTCGGGTCGAGGAATTCAAATCCGCGAGTAGTGTTTTGAAATTTGGTACTGTATGCTGCCGTGAATAAGACACATTGTTTCATAAACAGTTTGTTTCAAAACTTTATCGATTGACCGAATCAGAAGAATAATTTGGAAGATATTCATTGCTGAGTTCGAAATATCGCTGATAGAGTGAAGGGTTCTGTTGCGTTTGCATCCAATGCATTATGTTTTGCAGAAGTTTAAATAAGTTTGTATTGATCTCAGAAAACTTTGTTTTCCAATATGAGATCGATTT